CTCTAATCATCATTGCTCAAATGGAAGAATATGAAACTGCACTGTTGAACTGTACCAAGCATTTATTCAGCCAGTTAAAGAAGCAATACAGAGCTTGGGARGGAAGGTTAAAGTCCTGTTTGCCATTAACCACAAAGCGGTGGTGGTTGAGTGTGCCAGTGGTGTTTGAAATGTATTCATTAAACAAAGGAACTGCAGGAACTGTAAGTACATTTCAAATAATTACTAATTTTAATGCTATTCTCTTGCAGAATTTTTAATGCTTACGATGAATTTATTTGGTTTAATGACTGCAGCAGGCTATTTTACTTCACAGTTTTATTAATTATATGTTCTTGCTACAATGCAGTARCAACTATTTTTTGCAGGCTTTTCTTCCCCCTTAAAAAAATTTATTATTACATGATAGAATTACCCACCTGAAACTAACTCACTTTTGTGGGAGAAAATTTGMATTAAATTGTACTTCAAGATGAGAACACAATCTATCCTTAAAAGGATGAAAATACTTATATGGGAAACTTCTGGCAGAGAATAGTTTTCCTAGAAAATCCTAAACTGCTAAGCAGATCTTTTGCTGTTTTCTTGATTTTTCCACAATTCTTCAAGATTAATTGTCAGTAAAAAAATACAATCAAATCAAATACCTGGACACCTTATTTTATAGTTAGTTCACAATTTGCTCAAAACTCTCAGAGCTTGGCTCTATTAGAACAGCACATTTAGGATTTTTACACAGCACTATTCATCAATAATTAGTTAGCTGTTTAGATCTTATTTTTCAAAATGTAAATTTATAGTCCACTACACTTTGAAATACCTAATATCCTCCTAGGACACCTCATAGTAGAGTTAGAACCCAAAGCAGAAACAAAGAAATGTTTTATGGGCTCCATAAATATTTTAATTACTTCAGAATAGAGAAAAAATAATTTTCAGAAAACATGGAAAGCAYAATTTGAAAGGTTCCTGTATCCAATTAATTTCGTTGCAACACCAAATCCCTAATATAAAAATCTAGTGAATTTTTTAAAATTAATGGTATTCAGATACCTTGAAATTCTCTCAATGACTAAAACAGTAGCTAAAATTATCCGACATTTAGGAACCCCTAGGTTAATTTTGTTAAAAGGAGGAATTTCTATTTTTCAGAATATATTGTTCCAAACAGCCAGATTTATGAAGAATTAATGAAAAATCAGCAGAATAAGAACAAATACTCTCTTTGAGCACCTTTTCTTAAACTGGCCTTCCACTCATTCCCCTGTTCTGTTTCTGACCTCTTCCTTATGTCTGTCTGCATCTTTTCTCATTTGCTGCTTTTCCTTTGCTAACATATCTAATTGTGAAACAATCCCCTGGAATCTGGATTTATGACTGGCTTAGCTGTCACTGGGTATTGTCATTTGGCCCAAATCTCAGCTTTCCTCTCTTTTTAAATGTCTGCCAATATCCATAGGTTGGTTTTGATGGTGTTRATGACTTCCAGTTTAACAGGAGGATGGTGAAGGTTCATAAAATTTTCATTTTGACTCTAAGTTCCTATTCAGCTAGTTCCAGCTCTCATAAAGGGTAGTGCCCTGTCTTTATTCAGACAAGTAACAAATCACACTTCCTTCTCTGTTTATTAAATCTACAAGGATGTGAGATAGGAATCCAAAGCTGTCTTAGAGTTTCATATTGTCATGTATCACAGCAACTTCAAAGTGCTTGGGTTTAGAAAGCAGCTTCTATTCTCATCTAGGAGCAGACAGGCAGGAAGAAGGTATTGCTTGGGGTCTGATTTTTTGCTACTGTTGCTTGGAATTGGAAAACTTATGTCACAGCTTTTTTCTGCAATATGGCTAAGCCTAAAGACTTAATCTAATATTACATCCCAAATTATATTATAAATATTATTTGATTTGTTATTTTTGGAGCCTGTATGCCAATGTTGGTTTTCATTCCAGATTACATCTAAAATAAGAAAGAGAAAAAGGCAGACAGATTTCCTAACAAGCCATATCCRTTTATCATCAGTTGCCAAGAATCTGTACAGTAGCTTAAAGAGATGGAGTGGGGCTTTTTCCTATGGCTTAGGAGTCCAGACCAATGGATCATCTTATGAAACTGAGAATGCACAGTTTCATAATTTGTAAAATTTCTCTCTTGGAAATAAAACTTTGTCTTAAATTTATTTAATGCTAAACACAACACACAATGATTTTTGAGACTAAAATCCTTAAAGAGACATTCATAAAATAATGCAACCAGAAATTGTTTCCGTATCTGTAAACTTCCTTCTCCATTCACACAGATCACAATCTATCAGCCACAAGGTCTGATTTGTTTGTATCTCCTGAAGACTACAAGAGATAGACCAAGAGAGAGCCTTTCCTGCACCATGATCAGCCACATATCATTAATCAACCACAAATTAGAAGTCATTACTGATGCTTATGTATATAATATTCCTGAGAAATATCTACAAAACAATTGTTTCTATAGGAGTTTTGTAAATATGAGCCCAAAATAATACAAAGTATTATCAGTTTATTAACACAATGCAACCAGTGACTCAACAAATCCTTCACCACAAAAACCTGCAGGTTAAAAGATCTGAATATAGGTCAGCAGTTGTTCTGGTATTTTTCAGTAACTGAACCATTTTTCTAACTTTATCCAAATAGAGAGGAACCATAAAGAGAAAAGAAYTTTTCTTTCTGGCAGTGTAATCACATTTAAATCCCAGTCAGTACCAAAGATAATCAAAGGARCAGGCTTCATTACAAATATTAACTGTAATTTTAAGTACCTTGCAATAAAATCAGCAGTTAACTTTCACAATCTTTCAGATGATGGCTATGACACTGGAAAACGTGATGTACCTGCAGAGGCAATAGCTAAACCTAAAGCTATTTAAATAACTGCATTTAAGGGCTTTCTGAAACTGTTACATTGAATTTGATGAAAAAAAACCCCTAAAAATTATTTTCTCCATAGTCAGTTGAGCCTAGAATAACCATAAGATTAAAAAACCCATCCATTCTATCAAATTTATTCAAGTGTTGTCAGAGATGACATACAGGAAACAAAGTAAGATAAATATTAATACCTAAGCAATGCCTCTAGAAGCAAGTAGATTGCATGAGGAGATGTAAGTTTACCAAAAGGATTGAGCARTTGTCCCTTGTCTCTCTCATGTTCTGAGGGTATTTAAATCTCCCCTAATTGAAGTGCTCATTTATTCTGGCTCTTAAGTTGCTCCTATTCCCTCAGTCTGCTTGAATTTTAACTCACCAACACAGCTTTAATTAACATTTATAGAATTTTTTACTGGTTTTACATGTATATGTGTTTGCACCCCTGAAAACATACTTGTGATGAACCATAGCTTTATTTGCTCAAAATTTTGCATCTAGATGCTTTAAGTTCTGCAGCCAAAATTACAGGATAAAAGTGAATATCTGCAAGTCCATATTCAAGATGTGGAACTGGCTAACCAGCTAGAGATATCTTAGCTTTTGGGGTTCTTTTAAAGTAATATTTCACTTACCATTTGCAAAATAAGATAGCAACCTCTTCCCCAAGATTCACCCATGGAAATATTTTTTTTTTTTCTGTAGCTGAGTCACAACCATTCACTGAAGCATAGAAGTCCTCTTAGTGAGGAATTATTTTAGATGGGATATGCTTTGACCTCCAGCATAACAGATAAGTGAAGTTTGCAAAATACCTCAGAAAAAGTAGCTTAAAACAATGCTTTTTCTGTGAGTCCAACACACACACCTGACAATCACAGATGCCATGCACATGCTGCTGATGCTGCTGGGCTGCTATCCTGATTGTCAAGATCCTTGGKAGATACTACACAAGTGATGGATCTCTAGACAGATAATGTAGTAAATGAAGAAAGCATAATCTGATTCAGACTTTGGGCCCTGAATTTTCAGGCTTTTCACAAAAATTTGATTTAGGTGTAGGATTCCCAAAGTATCTGCCATCTTTTTTTTTAAAAAGCGAAGTTATCAGCATGCCTGATGTACCTGAAAATACATCCATGTATGTCCACAGGTGAGACATAATTAATCCAGAAGAACTTCCATTAATAATAAGTATTTGGAGACAGTTCTAATAGATATAAAAATGGTGTGATGAAGTCCTCTCTTAAYTGAGGCTCACGATAAACTCTTGACTTTCATTATAAAATATGCAACTGCAAACAAATCAGAATGTCTCCTGGTCTCCCTTTCTGGGGTACTTTTGAGCCATAAAATTACTGCCCAAGTTGTTTAATAATGACAGACAACAGCTGTGGGACTGAGATGATACAAAAGATACACAGGTCATTTCAAGCAAATCAACCTTCTCWACAAACTTAGAGGAGAAATTCATAAGGCATATACTAAATGCAAAATTATAATTCCAGACAGCAATACTCAGCTAGAAAAACTGTTCCAGACTGAGGAGACCTACTTTTACGCTTTCTTTAATATTGATCATCTTGACATGATTAAAAAAATAGTCTTTAGACTTTTTTACTTGTGTGTCACTGTAGTCTGTTTTGATGCTCCACTCACTGAGTTTTAAGGGCTTCACTGTGTTTGAATCCATTGGTTTCACTTCTGAAAGGATCAGAGGAGAGAAAGCCAAACACAGAAGATGGATTTTCACTTTGTTCTTTTTATTTCCAGTAAATACTATTTCCAGTAAAAAAAATAGCATAAATAAAATGTGCCAGGCCCAATCCCTTTGAAGTTCTTACAGGAAGGTGATGCACACCCTCACAAACTCTCATATCCCCCACAGAATAGGGAGCYCAAGTTAAAAAGGGGAGCTCTGGGCTGGGTACCTTAATACCACATCTMTCCTTGGCTTCCAATACATACCTATGAGGCTGTAGATGGTCAGGGAGTCTAAAGCTGCTCTAAGCTATGCCTGCAACTCAGAAACTGCAGAAGTGACATGAACTGTTTCTCTCCTTCCCAGCCATGCCAATGATTTCTCTATTGCAGGCTTATTCTTTCTGGCACTCAGTGAAGAATCCCAGGCACTCAAACACCTCATATTGTAAAGGAGGAGAGACATTGTTATCCCTTGTAGAATCATCAGGCAACAACAGCTTAAAGATTCCAGGTAGGCTGTCCCCATTGCTTTCTGGAGTGACACAGAAGGAGGCTCACTCTTAGGAACACTACTTCTGAAATGAACATTGTGCACTTACGAATGAGATCAGTAGAGAATAGAACTAATGAGAGAAACTTCCACATTAAGTTTGATTTTTATTTGCCAGTGGAAATTATTGTTCCAACACAAATTAAGAATATTCTCAGGATTACCAACAATGAAGATGAAAAATGATACTGTCAGCTCTACCATTTTAAATGCTGAAGATGTGAGGACCAGCCTTGAATTAAATTTCACTCAGTGGAGTCAGAATAAAGAGTAGAGCGCTACAGGATGTTCCTATCTTTTTCTCCTCTGCAGTCAAGTGTGTTTGAGCTACCAATACTGCTGAAGGTTTTAGCAAGAGACTCCAACTATAAACCAGCTTTGGAGAAAAAATAATCTTTGAAAGGAATTCTCCTCCATATTGTCATACTCATTCATTTAATAGCCCACATCCATGTTATATAGCCTCTCTCTAAATTCCTCAAATTTCCATTTAAAATAATAAGGAGATACCATTCTGCTTTTGTATTCACAGCTAAGAATATCAAAGTATTTATTTTCCTTTTTATTTTTGTAAACCATTTGGAGCAACGGAAATGAAGCCTCATCTATGTACTTGTTTAGCAAGTATAAAGTCCTTCATTTGGGCAATGTTACTGAACAGCTACCATGAACTCTAAAATAGTTGGGAGCTAATTGATTCCTAGAAGGGCAATGAAAGTAGAGCAGAT